CATTGGAAACACTTGTATAAGTTCCTCCAAATTGTCAAACAAAATGGTCTAGTTGTCTCTGCCAAGAAAATCAAGTTGTTCCAAACCAATATCCGATTTCTTGGTTTCAATATATATCAGTCGTAAATTTCTCCAATTGATAGAGTTATCCAATTTGCTGATAAGTTCCCTGATCAGATTCTTGATAAGAGTTAACTCCAGAGGTTTCTAGGATCTCTCAACTATGTTTCTGACTTCTATCAGAATTTGAGAAAACAATGTAAGCCCTTGTTTGATAGGTTGCAGAGTAACCCTCTACCATGGTCAAACATCCATACAGAAGTTGTCAAACAAATCAAAGCCCATGTCAAGACACTTCCCTGTCTTGGTATACCTTCAGTTGATTTCTTCAAAATAGTTGAAACTGATGCCTCTGCATAGGTTATGGTGGCATTCTTAAGCAAAGAGCTTGTCCAAATTCCCCAGAACAGATTTTTCGTTTCCATTATGGTGTTTGGACTCAGTCGCAATATAATTACAGTACTATTAAAAAAGAAATATTAGCTATTGTATTATGCATAAGTAAATTTCAAGATGATTTGCTTAATCAAAAGTTTTTGTTACGAGTTGATTGTAAGTCTGCAAAACATGTTTTAGAAAAAGATGTCCATAACATTGCATCTAAACAGATTTTTGCACAATGGCAAAGTATTTTGAGCATATTTGATTTTAATATTGAATACTTGAGAGGGAGTGAGAATTTCATTCCTGATTTTCTTACTAGAGAATTCTTGCAGGATGCACAATGGCACCCAAGAAAGACAAGCACAAAGAGTCAGCCAAAAAGTCGTCTGAGTCAGTTGCCCAGCCAAAATCATCCCAGTCATCCCAGTCGCTCAGAATCCTTCCCCCTTCCATGAGTCAAAATAAGCCCGAGTCTCCCAAGCAAATAGTTCCTTTTCCTGGTTGCACCCCAATCCAAGTTGCATCACCAATTTCAGTTGCCAATAAGTTTTCTGCTTTAGGTTCAACAGTTGGTCAAGTTCGTCCTAGTTACCAGTCGACACTAGTTTCCAGTTACGACCCTTTTGCAGGTCCTTCAGTTGCTTTCAAGAAGTCATCCCCTTATTTGCCTAAGAGTAATTCCCATTTATTCATTATTGAGCCTAATTATGATATCAATTCTGACCCAGTTGCCATTGCTAAGCACTATTTCCCTCCTGGTTTCCATTATATGCCACCCAGTCCATATAAGTCCCTCAAGTACTGTAGAGATATATTGCTTGAGACCCAATCAGTTGAAATCAAGCCGATAAGGGATCGAGATCATCCTGAAATCATCCTTTATCATTCTCTTTATATTCACAGAGTTGTAAGCCAAGAATCCTTCAATAGCCATCCCTATCAGTTGAAAACCCTCAAGTCGTCAAAATTACAATATAATTATTCCGATTCCTCCATCAGTCTAAGGATTTTAGCCACTCCTGGTTTATTAATTTTGACAATAAGTTTAAAGGTCTTTTTCCCTACTGGTTCCTCCATTGGTGGGAAAAGCACGGTCCAGTTGACGAAATTTTACCAGTTGCTGTTCTTGAGTTAATCCATCATTTTACCAAGAAAGCCAAGTTCACCAGAGTTGAATTATTTTTCCCTAAACAGATGCTATTCCTTGCTCGATATAAGGTCCCCTGGATTCTCAAATGGTCTTACAGGGTCACCATTGATACCAGAGTTCTTGCCCGCCAATTCTCAGTCAAGTGGTGGGACAAATTTGAAGTTGACAGAATTGCCAGATATGTCTACAATGATCTGCCAGTTGATCCAGTCCCACATCCTGCTCAACATCCAGTTTCTCCCACTGGATCTACTACATTCGCCACCTACTCAGTTGATGGAAAGTCTAAGTCTGAGATTAAAGAAATTGCCCTCTAGTTGCTGAACCAAGCCTCTCAAATGGATGATAATGAGGACAATGATTCTCCCTCGTCATCTAGTTGCCAACCTCTACAAGAACCAGATAAGCCCAAGAAGTCCTGGTATGAAGACAGTCAGGATCTCTATGATGCCTATGACTTAGGGTCTGACTAAGCATCCAGTTGCCGACACAATAGTTGCCTTGGTGGAATTGATTGAAGCATCTTGAAAAGCAACTGCCCTGCTTTCCCGTGACGCTCCAGTCTTTATTCCCCGACAATTCACCCAAGAGTTAAAGCAAAAGTTGCCAGAGTAAAAGTAAAAGCAAAAGTTGCCCCGACATTTCACCACAAGTAAAAGTTGTCAAGTAAAAGCAAAAGTCACCTGAAGACAAAATTGAAAGCTGAATCGGGTTGTCCCCATGCTCTCATGATTGTCTCCACCATCAGAGTTACTTTCGGTTACCATAGTTACTTTCTATGTAACCTTAGTTGCCTTTTTCTATATAAGCTGGCTTCGGCCTCAGTTGTAGACAAGATACAATTTACACTTTCAGTTTTTTAAAGATTCTCTCTAAACAATCTTAGAAGAATCATCTTCTGAGAGTTTGTATTCGAGAGTTGCCTTAGTTGCTGTTGTGAAAACCCTTTGTGAGTATATAAATAAAACCCTGAGGCGAGACCAAAGAAAAGGCCTTGTATATACAATAATATTTGTTTGTGTGTGTATTACTATATAACAAAGAAAAGGCCTTGTACATCAACCAAAATTATGTTTAAAAATTGATGTTCGTAAGAACACAAATATTTATTTATTTATTTATTTTTAGTATGAGCGATAATCTAAACATATTATACAAATTTAGAAAATGTCAACTTGGTCAAGAATCAAAACCGGGCAATAATCTTTAAAGCAAGAGCCCAATTGTTTTCACTTTCTTTTTACTTGTGTGACAGATGCAACAGCCTGCACATGAAAAATGCATTTTCCTGCATATCTGAAACTTTCAAGTCTCAATATATGGAACATGAAATTCTTACATCAACATGTATATATATATATGAGCTTGTCCCTTAGCAACACATATAGATCATACAAATACTTTGAAGTTCTCTACATCAAAGTCTATTATAAGGCCAAACATGATGCATCCAATCACAAAGATCATAGCCGTTGTGATCATCTCAATGGTTTCTGGGGCCGCCACGGGTGCTGATCCTCAATCTCCCTACTGCGACATCATCCTCGACCACTTGAACCCTTGCCTTCCCTATATACTTCAAGGTGAGGTGAAGCCAGCCAAGGTTTGCTGTGATGGTGTCCTGGGCCTCACACAGTATACAAACGCCAAGGGAGGCCAACAAAATATATGCGACTGCGTCAAGGCTGCAGCAATTTTGATGGGGGCACCTGTTGATAATTTCTCTAAGATTTCTTCTCTTCCCAAAACTTGTGGCCTATCGGTCACACTTCCACCCATCTCTAGCGGCACTGATTGTTCCCAGTAATTAACCATCTCTGCTCTAAATTCTATCTCTAATTTCATATCATGATGCAAATGTTTTATAGGAAAAGAACTAATTTCTGATTTTGGTTTCTTGAATATATTACAGGGTTAAGTGAAGATTTGATGGAAGGGGTAATGCTTCAACAGACAATGGAATAAATGAATAATTTGTCTAATGAAAGGTTATGAGAATATGAAGCAATATATGTGGAATAATATTACCTGTTTTAAACTTGTGGAGTGGTTTGGAATTCTTACTCTGGTATTTGAACTCACCAGTTCCATTATCATGCAATTCTATATCACACTATATCACGTCCCCAAGCAATACAGTTTCTAAGTTTTTTTTTTTTTTTTTTTCACCAAAATTGGATTTTGGTAAGCAATAACCTGAGCAAAGGATTTGGATTTGGTGGATTTGCGCTAATTAAGAAGAAGGTTATTTATGGAGAATCACTGTAAGGTGATATTAAAGTGATTATATATGGAGAAATATTCTTTGTAAAAGTGATTATTGGTCTATCAAGAATCATACCAAACGATCCCACGAGTGGTGATTACATATTTAAAACTTAATCAATTAGTTTCAACGAACCCTTCTTTTAATATATAATTATATTATATAATAATAATAAAAATATATATATTTTTTATATTATTGAGTCAAGTCGATGGGGAAAGTGAGAATCCCCATCCTGAAAATTATAAAACATACTAAAATGAAAGGTGAACCCTTGTGCTTGCATTTATCCTCCATAAAAGTATGTTTTCTTTATCAAAGTCGGAATTCTTCTCAATTCCTTCGTCACGAGGAAAAGAACTTTTTGGTAACACCTTCTTCGCATCACGAGTAGTCTAGCTATAAGCTCTCTCCGTCTCTCTCAAAAGGAAAGTACGTAGGGTGCCACATTTACTATAACATCTTGGAGCAGATTTCATGGTCTTAATCAGTTGTTAGGCAGAACGGGCTTGTTTTGGTTGGAGGAGGGACTTGTGAAAACACAGGGGTAAATTTATCTTAACTTTATTTCATATAGGCAAGGTACGATATGGCCATTTAACTTGTATATGATAATATGTTTTCGGTGATGGTGGCATGAATGTTTAATTAATTTGTCTTGCAATTGGTACGCGTCTTTGAATCATTTGTTTTTGGGTAACATATCCCGGTCAAAAACCTTATGACGGCCCCAAGCGCGACGTAGGTTCTGGAAAACTTTTACTGTATGTATATACGCGTATGGATATGGAATTGTCATATGTTTTCAGTGATGGAGCCATGAATGTTTAATTTGCCTTACAATTGGTACGTGCCTTCTGAGTAATTTCCTTTGGGTATGCGCCTTTGAATAATTCATAGAAAGCGATGTAAATTAATCTGGGTTATTGCCTTTATTGTCACGGTCACATAGGCCAGTCAAATATTAATAGTAAACTTCTCGCTGCGTATGGCTCACTCATATCGTATGGCTACCTTAGAAATCTTCACCTTCTTCTTCTTCTTCTTTCCTCTTGTAGTAGTAAGCACTACCACCTGCGGTGGATCGACATGCACCGCGGAGGGCCCATTGGTTCGATTCCCTTTCCTGCTTAGAGACCACCAAGCCTCAAGTTGTGGGTACCCAAGGTTTAATCTCTCGTGCAACAACAAAAACCAAACCATTCTCACTCTGCCATCTTCTTCCGGGGACATCATCGTCCAAAGCATCGACTATATGGACCAAACCCTAACGATCAATGACCCCGACAACTGCCTCCTAAGAAGGTTCCTCTACCATGACATCAATCTTAAAAATTCACCCTTTTCATACGCAAGCGCCCCTGAAAACTACACGTTCGTTGGCTGCTCGTCCCAAAAAGCATTTTGGCCATGGAATTCAGCACCTGTAATCCCTTGCCTCACCAAGTACCACTACAAGGTCATATACGTTGTACAAACCAGTTCGCTTTTGCAGCCGGATCCGATACTTTTGCTGGCTGGTTGCTTTAAAATTTCGACTGCTTTGGTTCCATTTTTATTTAATTCGGAGTATCTTAACTTTGGTGCTCAGTTGACTTGGTACGTGCCTAATTGTGGTTCTTGTGAAGCTAGAGGTCGTGTTTGTGGGTGGGAAAATGGTACTACAACTTCTCAAATTCGGTGCTTTGGTTCTTCCGGTATGTGAGTTTTATATATAATGTCATATTCATTTTCTTATTTGGATGCTCGACTGACTATTATTTTCTAGCCTGCAACAAAACAAGATGCTTCGGTGACGACCACTTCTGATAATTATTTTTTCCATTTTTAATTCCATCCCAGATATAAGCTTGATTAGTTTAGTGTGTATAATTACATCCACGATCATAGGATTTAAGTCGAGTTTTGAGTTACTGCCCAAATTTTAAGATTTTACATGGTGGATCGGAGAAGTGAAAAAAGAAAAGACAAAAAAGAGCTGAAACAGAGTTGATGATGGTAATCAAATAGCTAAATTTATTGTGAAGTGGTTTTGGCATGGTTGGTTGTTGAAGGAGAATCTAAAAAGATAACGGTTCGGATCAACAAATTTGAGATAAGATTTTCATATCCATAAATACATGTAAACTCCTCTATATATAAATGTAAATCATATTCTAAATATTGTCCTGATCTAATGGAAAGTATTGTGATTTCAGGCAACTCAAGTCTGCCCAGAGCTGCAAGGTATGGCATAGTGATAGGCGTGGGAATTCCAGGGCTGCTGTGCATCATAGGGCTTGCAGTTTATGTTTGTAACAGGACAAGGGTTCCTGGTCAGGTTCACCAGCCCACCATCACACAAATGTTATCCATACCCGATCGACAGCCTTCGGCAGTCAGAATTGGCCTTGATGATCTGACGATTGCATCATATCCTGAGATTCAACTTGGCAAGAGCTGGGAATTGCCAAAACTCAATGACAACACTTGCCCAATATGTTTGGCTGAGTACCAGCCCAAAGAAACACTGAGGACCATACCAGAATGCAGCCATTATTTCCATGCTAATTGCATAGATGAGTGGCTTAGAATGAATGCAACTTGCCCAGTTTGTAGAAACCCACAAAAGAGATAACAATATGTTTATGTAGTACTGGTTATTGATATATAATTTGTTCCTTATATATATATCCCTTAGGGTAAATTACTCAAATGGTCCTCAAACTTGTACTCGATTTACATTTTGGTCCCTCAATTCAAATTATTCGTCCAAATGGTCCATTAACTAAATATTAATCGCTCCATTGGTCCTATCGTCTAATTTTCTGTTAAATTTAACCAAATTTTAGAGTAAATACGACTTTTCATAATTAACAAATAAAATAGGGTTAAAATAAATACAAAATTAGAAAATAATTAAAGAAAAAGAGAAGAAAAATCATGAGACCTGAACCCCCTCCCTTCGATTTCTTCTCCCCCATTCCCCACAGACCCAAAATGTCGGATGATGGTTCTAAAAGCTTATGGATGAACTTTTGGTGGAGGGAGGGATTGGGTGCGGTGGGTAGTTGTGGGGGTGGGGGAAGAGGTTGGGAGGTGAGGAGGGGAGGGGGGGGGGGAGGGGAGT